CAGTAACAGCGATCTCCGGTCCACATCTTCCTCGCCAAATGAGCTATCAACTCACTCTTAACTCTAATCCACAGTACAATTACTCACATCCCATCCCAGCCCATCTCATCTCCTCAGAACTTTCATAAACCATTACTATATAACCCCCCTCCTCTGTCCTCAATCTCTGATCCTCAAATCCCGACACAAACTTCACTTTTAACATTAAGGATCATATACAGCTGATGTGTTTTTCAAACCTTTAGCACATCGACTATCACCTGTAAAATAAAATAAAAGATACATGCTACAACTATATATCTTCTCTATTTTGAAGATGAGATTAGGAGAGAAGCGAAGATCAGTTCTGGTTTGATCTAATGGTACAGGAAATTGGCAATAATTGGAACAGACGACAGTGGGTACTATATGGTGGTGGTGAATTAGAACGGAACGAGACGGTAAAGGTTGGCTCTCAAGATCTGGTCCAAAATTCGGATCATAGAGAGGAATATCTTATTGACTCAAGTTTCTTCCTCTAAAGGTTCTTCCTTAATTATTATCTCTTGATCCTCCATGGGGTTTGAATGAACAGAGCTTACCACTTCACATTGGTAATAAAAGTAGTATTTAGGTCTATGGTGTGGATCATTATTAACCCCCAGAACAATAGCAGTGAAGAAATATCCATGAATAGCTTTATTAAACAAAAGCATAGGAACCAGAGAAATTGTTTTTCGAGAATCTGCATACAGGACTACCTGATGTTTATTCTCCAATCAAGAGTATAATGAAACTAAAGTATATCTTTTCTTTCTCCTCTAGCAATTTTCCAGAATTCAATCACGTCATTTTCAGAATAAGGTGCTGCATTATATCGTATATTTGTATCAACACGCCTCTAGATGAAAGGGTATTCTAAATTTCCAATGATCCTAGTACTCTAGTAATCGACCCAATATGTATTCCCGATCCCTCACGCAAAAACACCCAAGTATATACAATCCAGTTCATAACCATCTCTTTATCCACAGCCACCCCTTCTCAAATCCCCCCCTCTATCTCTGTTTATGTCTATACATCCCCCTCAGCCCCGCAAACGCAATAACTCTATACGCCGCCCCCAATGCAAGCAGCATAAGCATATCCTGAGTAAAGTGATCCAAATCATAACCGACCGCGTTCTTCGCCGTCTCAATATCATACAGATAATTCATCGGAGTAATGTTCTGCGTGAAATATCCCTCCGCTAACCACGTGCCTGGAGTTGATCTCCAGAGCCATATCAAATGCCAGCTTCGTACTTTTTTAAGAGAAGGCGACATACCATTAAGTACACCAACGATGAGAGATGCCATAACTGAAAGAAGAGGTCCGTCTTCACGACGGGTAACCATAGAGACACAAGATGCGAGACCGTATATACACCAGAAATAAAGGAGATTAGCAGCGAACATATCCATCCAGCCAATGACCGGTGTAGTCAAGAACGCAAAAAATACTGTGAAGTGAAAATTTGCAAGAATCATTCTTGGCATGGTCGAGATGACTTTTCCGACGTAATATGCAAAGCGATTGTGTCCCGCTGCAGCTTCTCTCCAATAAACCAATTTTTCCTCGCCGAAGACCTTTACTCCTGGTGCTGAAGCAGTGAGACCAATAGCTAGACCGACGAGAAGTGCCATTTGAGGAACAGAGTTGTAATCGATTGATGAAGAAAGTATTTCATATGGTTCGTTGAAAATACCACGGAAATTTGCACCTTTTTGATTGAGTTCCGCGAGACCGATTAAGAAACCTGAGGCGGCACCGACGCCTAACTCGAAGTAAAACGACTCTTTCAGACGATATTGCTGAATGAGAGAACGCTGGAAACAAAACCAAATTTGTCGATACCAGTATGTACCACGAGTTTTGATGGTCGAAGCAAGAGCGTTTGATTCGCCTATTGAAACACCAGGACCTTTTACATCTTCAAATGCGCTGTTTGGATGGTCTTGCCAATGTTCGATGAGAGGTTGGATACTAGCATCTCCAGTACGTTTGTAGAGACGACCTTCGCCTGCAATGATGTCACCCATAACATCGGAAGGATTACCATGGTCGGGGAATTTGAAGCCAAGACGTTCGAAATGAGGTTTCACACCCACTTGAGGTCCTAGGTAAATCATTCGTCCTGCACCGAGGAGTACGAGACTATCGAGAGATTCGAAAATTTCTTGTCGCGGTTGATGAATAATAGTTACGATTGTCATACCGAGACGAGAGAGAGCTTTGAGAGTTTTCATGATAGAATTTGCGGCTGTTGCATCTAGCCCAGAAGTAGGTTCATCGAGGAAAAGAGCCCTGGCATTAATGTGAGTTAAGAAAGGAGAAAGTTTGGACTGAAAACTTACATAGGTGCAGCCGCTAATTCCATACCAATACTAACTCTTTTTCTTTGGCCACCTGAAATGACTGGAGCAGCAGTACTACCTACTAATGAATCCTTGACGTGAGAAAGTTGAAGACAAGCAAGTAAAACATCAACATGATGTTGGATCTCGCCCTCCTTCCATGTGCATGGTAACCTGATTCTAGCAGAATGAAGAATATTTTCCCGAACAGTAAGTTCTGGTAGAACAATATCGTCTTGGGGTACATATCCAATGATTTTTTTGTACCTGTAATTTTTAGTTGTTATAATATACCATCGGCAGAAGAACTTACTTCGAGATATCACCAGCAACGCCATTAACTTTAGTAACTCCACCAGTGTTTTTCGTTTTACCCATGAGAACATTTACAAAAGTAGCTATTGCTCGTTAGCTTCGAGTTGAGGTAAAAGAGCATTGATGAAAATTACATTTTCCAGCTCCTGAAGCACCCATTACTCCCCATAAACTTCCTGAGTCAATCAAACCTGAAACTTGTGAAAGAACAGGCTTCGGTGCCTTCGGTGGGTGGAATTTCAAATCCTCGAATTCGAAGGATAATCCGAATTTACTTCCTCCGAAGCATCTCGACAAAGATTGAACAAATAGTTGTAGATCAGTATTCATAACTTGCTCCTCCCCCACGTTCTGACCGTCGTATAAGAATTCCTCATCCAGATTACCCAATTCCTCAAATCCGGTGGGTCTTCGCTGAAGGTTCATAATTCTCTCCTCCAAAGCAATATCGCTTTGCTCTCGGGCTGCCTGTAGTTGCTCATCATGGATTTGAGAATACTCTCTTCCTCGAAACATTCCTGGCTTTGTGTACGTCTTCCTATTCGACCGCTTCTCCTTCGAATGATTTCGAACCCTATTGCTGAATTTTCGTTTCAAAGTTATACCCAGTGCTCCAATTAACATTACCACATCCACAACAATTAAAATAGCCACTGGAATAAGATTCATATCTCTAACACTTTTTTCCGGGCATCTCGAGCTAATTGCACACTTCGTTGGTAAAGCTGATCCTGCGCGACAATAAGACCCCGCTGGACATGGATTTTGGAGCTTCCCTGGCTCTGGACAAAAATATCCGGCTGGACAAAGCGAGGGTTCGTAAGTTCCCATGGTTGGTATACATGCTCCTCCTGAGAACCTCAGTATTTGACAAAGAGGAGTTGGAGGACAGTATTCTGGTAGATTTGTAAGAGTATTATTTGGACCTGCGAAAGAGGATGATATTAGTTTCTTCAGATACCAATTGAACACCTAGACTTATTCTTTTACTCACAGTAAAAGCCCTTTGGACATCCGGTAGCATTCCACGAAGCTGCATCTTGAATAACTACTGGTTGTCCACCGGATATACAGGTGGAATTCATCGTCGCCGTTGACCCCTCCATCATTACTATATTACAAAACCTTTGCAAGTTTAACGAAAGCAATACAAAAAGAAATCAACAATATACTGAAGAAAAGTTTACATTTTATGGATGCAACAGAAGATTATACTTATTGTCTGCGCCGCTCCCCTGCTCACTTCAAAATATCTTTACGTGAACAGGTGAGATTGAAGGCTGTGGATATTAGGCAAGGCACCGGATTGGCTTATTGGGCCCTATAAGCCTTGTTTGGATATATTTCTGCGCCGCATATCCACAGTTAGATCCATATCTTTCAGGGTATCTATTCCATGATATCTTCCTATCCAGGTCGGCTGAATGAACAAAGTTGAAGAAGATTACCATCATATTGACAACAGTGCTAAAGTAACCGAATATAGATCTGTACACGATCATATTGTAAGACCTAGGTATGTCCAAGCGACTGTTGATTAATTGGGCTGTGAGCTCTTCCATACGAATGGATGTATGAGAATGATTTTCCTAGGTAAGCTCCTATTACTGCTAGAGTTACCTGCACCTTGAGATTGGAGCCAACGGCCAACCAACATTTGAACAAACAAACAAACTTCCACCAATCTCACCACGGAAATAAAGCGTTGGTGGTTGGTTTCTGACATACGATCTCTCCACTAAACAACGCCTGGCGCATGGTGGTTCTTGAGGTTCATTGAGCTTGTTTGCCAGCTTGCTTATGTTGCTTGCTGTTAGATAGCAGATAGAATTACAGATTACCTAGTATCAAGGGACCTAGCGGTAAAAGTTTAAATGACGGAACACGTGATCCACTCAATTTGTATGGAGCCGCTTCTCTCTCCACCACAATCCCATCTTTGCTTCTAACAACCCCATTTTCTCATAGAATGCACAATTCACATAAAGAGTTTTACAGAGCCAATTTAAAGCTTAAGATACCAATGTATCAAGTCACCCTCCCTCTCTTCCTACGTTTCAATATCATGACTGTGTTTTCTTTCTGAATTCGAGCTGGCTGGTTCATTCTTCCTCTGTTCATAGATTTGGCACAGAGAGGTCCATCTAATGCAATCAAATCCCCCCTTGCTAGCGATGCTTATCCTGTAAGGCAATCCACGTTGTCCTAGCCCAGCCCCATAAGGCTTAACTTTTTTAAGCAATTTTAGAATCCTTCAACTAGGGCACAACAACAACACAGCCTTCTTGGAATTCGAGATCTCTCGACGAAATGCAAGGTTCAATAAAGAGAATACAGTAAGCAAAAAAAGCTATGGTTTCATGACCAAGTGCTATCCTGATGTCTTACCCGAGACGATGATCCTCGAATCCTTCGAAGATCGTACAGTACCCCAAATTTAACCTCATATCAAAACTCCGTTTCTCGAAACTTTACTGATCCCACTCTCCAGTTCCAAATCAGCCTTGAGAATTCTGCCTAGTCTCTGGGTACGCTCTGTTGATACTCCGCTAGCTGTATGTCAAAAACATAGTTGTTCCCGCAGGACCGTTTTAAATCTGGGATATTGCTAGTGAAAAAAGTTTAAATGGATCTCTTGTTGAGTTTTACATATACACCGCTAATGTATGCATCTTGGCAGCGCAAGAATACGCAATTGTTTGTTCGTGAGGTCAGTGACCTGCAACATCGACATTGGACAACATTGTTCAATGGTTATCTAATGCTTCTACTCAGTATCCTTCGAGTCTCGATCGAACTTTCTGTAGGCAATTCAAAAGGGACTCTTCGAGAATCGCTGTTATAGCGATTGTTTGTTACACTCGTTCAAGGGACCTTCGTGTAGCAACGTTGTATAGCAGCAGCATAGATATGATCTGCCAAGCAGTATAGCTTCCCATTGAAAATATTTATAGTGGGATTGTTAAAAGCCAGACATTATCCATCTTTTCCTCTGATCATCCCACTCCTATTTCAATTTCGTCATTGTATCTCTTCCCATTGCAGGCAGCAGCAAAATCCGCGACAAACAAATTTCTGCCGAGAGAAATTAGATAAGGGACCCGGTGTAAATAATTTGACACCTTGAGGCAGGACAACTCCACTTTATTAGCTAAAGATAGTTTCTAGAATAGTATTGGCACCAGAGTCTGACCCACTTAAGCGATCCGATCTTTACCCCCGCATTATCGCCTGTGTAATTTCTTTAGGTACAGATACCTACTTATCAAGCCTAGAGAGTACAAATGAGGTTACGGGTATTGATTCGCGAGATGCGGGTTTGATCCCCAGATTATCAGCCGCTTGGAATTCCGCAGGTTGGGTACTGCTCCATCAGCGTCTAAATCGGCTGAAAGATAACAATACTAGGCTAGGGAAGAGATGAGAAGAAAACAGGTGCGAGCAAGGTTGAAAGAATGTAGTACTGTTACACTTTTAATGTTATCCACACCCCAAGACTCAAATTGTTGCTACTGAGAGACAGTTTGCATGTAACTCAGTATATTTTCGATAAGACCAACCACACCCAGTCATTATCCAAATGGAGTGGCGACCGCCGTCTCCCATCAGGCCTCCGTCTCAACTCATGATGGTATTATCAGTTCCTATGGGCGATAAGTTTTAAGACACAGGGCCATTAACATAAATAACATTTGCTCTTTATGGTGAACCTTCAGAGAAACACATTTATCACTCAGGAACCTGATAATTTGGAAGTTGTGATTAGGGGAACTAGAATCTTTCGAAATCTAGCATGTCACTCCTTTCATTCAGACTTTTTCATTCACAGATTCCAATTTTCATTCCTGGATAGAAGATATAATGATACCGTATCGCATGTTAGGATATCTTGAAGTCAATGTAGAAGCACATACGCAAATCAAGTAATTGGCTCACTTTATAATTCAAAGCACTAATATCTATCCTATGTATTAGCGGCATTGAATTGGAGCGGCAATCTCTTGCTCCGTCTACTCGAGATCCATGAGCCGTGTATATCTCAAGCAATTTATCTTGATATGTTACCATTGATTCCACTACGCTGGAAATATTCTTCCTTCCCACCACAAAATAAATTTATTCAGACAACTGAAAGCGAACCGAAATAGCACTCTATAGCTTTCAGAGTCCAAAGTCAGCTGTCAAAAATGGCATACTTTCTACAATTCCTTCCCAAATCCTTCTCCATCTTCACATCTCACTCCTCGGGTCTCTCATTCAATCTAGAGTCCCATGCCTCAGCATCTTCTTAATCCTATTCGTCAATCTCCCACCCTACGGTATCCCTTTACTCGCCCATCACTATGCCACAAAACAACTAAGTTAGCAACACTCATCCCCTCAAACCCCTAAAAAGGGAATAATTCACACTCATATATCTATCCAGCACCATCCGTTCCCTCAAAACACTCCCCCCTAATCATCCAAAAAAAATCCAAAGAAATCCGGCCACGTCTCCAACAGCTTCATACCAATCGAGTACTTAAAATTACTTCCACGGCGCCCACAAGAAGAACCCGTAGACGAGATAAAAGCTTCAAAAAAAACTTGAGACAACAGGATTCCGATTCGGAATTCAATAGAAATATGTTCTTATCGGTTTTCAGATTTCTTAGAGAAAAGAAGAGAAAAAGATGAAGATTTCGACAAGAACACAAATCAATACATACTGGAATAACGAAACCGATGGTGCTATGATCATTGTAACACACTGATCGATCTGAACGACAAGGAAGGTGGGGTTGAAATTTTCATTGCTGAGTGCGCAAAGAGGTCATCGGGATCTATCTATAGGAAAGGTATGAGGTTTTGACCCAGTGTTTCATACATTTTTGAAGCGAGGAGAACGGCGGAAACAAACATTTCAAAACGACACCCAAGAACCAAGAAATTTGAAACCCCAAAAGATGTAAATCTTACCTATCCTCACAAATTCCTCTACCTACCTACCTACCTACTTTAAAACTATACAAATAAATCTCCACCCCCCAAAAAGCACACGCGAACGATATGACAACAGCGCGCTGTTTTTCTTGTTTTCGATTCCTCCCAAGTAATTGCGAGATGGATATCTACCTATCCCATCTTGAAGAAATGAGTTAGGAATTCTCGCGCTTTTTTTGTACTCTTTTCCCTTGTCGTTTCTTTTCTTTTCTTTTCTTGTCTTTTCTGTTCTTTTCTTTTCTTTTCTTTTCTTTTTCTTTTCTTTCTTTTCTTTTCTTTCTTTTCTTTTCTTTTTCTTTCTTTCTTTTCATTTTCATTTTCCATGGAAGAAGAATGTATTTGCGGCGCCCGTTTTCTTCTCAAGAATTTTTCCCCCTTCTTCTCTTCCTCCTCCTCATATTTCTCATCTCCCATATCTACCTCTTACAACCTCTTACATCCGAACTCCATCCCCAAACTCCATCCCCAACTCCATCCACCCACCCATCCACCCACCCATCCAACCATCCACATCCCTAAAAATCTCCCTCTTAACAAGAAAGCTAGAATACAGCAAGTGACAACTGCTATCAGCCGAAACACGTTTTTACACCAAAACTCATCTTTATAATCATAAATTTTCTTATTATTATTAATATAATATAAACTTTTATTATTATTTATAATTTATTTTTAATAACAATTTGATAAAATTTAAATCAATTATTTTTTAGATTTTTATTGATTCTATATATAATTTGAAAATTAGAATATTTTCAAAATGATTAGATTTACTAGTAAAATAAGCGAAAACCAAGCAACTTTTTTAATATTTTAATTCAATCTTATAAATTTTAATATTAGAAATTTCTTAAATTTTTGAATTATAGAAAATATCAATTATCATTATATAAACTTTATAAAACAAAGTTTTATTAATTCAAATTATTAGTTATAGAGATTTTTATATTTAAAATATAGCAAAATGCCGATTTTGGTGTGAAATTGGGTTTCGGCTGATAGCAGTTGACTAGTACTGTATATGAAATTTCCTCAAGCACCCCTCCCCCCCAACCAAAAAAAAAGTTGCAGAGTGCAGAGTACAGAGTTCACATACAAAGAGCCCGATCCATTTACACAAGAAACTTCCATATTCCATATCCCGCGCATTTCACATTTCATGTTTCATATTTCACGGTGCGGTGAATAATTATATCATAATCAAGATCCATCGATTCATTCATTCATCATATCATAATTAAGATCGATTAATCTAATGGAGATAGAGTACATACTACCTACCCAAGCAGATAAGTATTTCCCCTGACATGACCTTCAAGCAGACTTGGTCATTTCGCCTGAAAGTCCTCACTCTATCAGTTTCTGCCAATGACTGATCCATTCCACTTCCCCTCTCCCTCCTCCTCCCGCTCCCCAAACCACCTTCCTCATTCCAATTCCACCCCGCTCATCAACCTCGTCCATCCACTTCCCCACCTTCCTAAGATTACAAAAATCCAAAAAACTCCTATTATCAAAAATTTCCACACTCAATTATTAGTACGCCTTCCATTCATCCAGATATCTTTCGCATCAAATCAAAACCAGAAATCAAAATCACAAAAAACGTAAATCCTACCAGCCATCCCAATCCCATCCATGCAATGCAGTGTCATTTGCTCATCAATCGTTGCTCATCCATACTCCAAATGCGCTTTCCCATTTATCCATCCACCCGTCCGTCCATCCTTTCACGTACTTCACCACAAGCTCAAAGTTTCGTGCCTCCCTCCCTAATATGATCGCTTAAACGTCTTCCGATACTAGCACCACCGGAACTTGGTCCTGCCCCCCCATTATTATCATCAGGACTACTGGCACCACCTCCACTACTACTACCAGCACCATTACCGAAGCTGCGTCGTTGACCTTCTCCTCTGCGAACATTTAACAGCCAACGAACATACATATTGAGTGTGCTTATTGTATTACGAAGTTCGACGATTTGATCTTTCAATGGAATAGTTTCATTCAAAAGCATAACGCTTTGACGAGCTTCCATTTCGGCGATACTAGCAGTAAGAGCGTTAATTCTGCTTTGTTGAGACTCAACTACTGAGAGAAGATAAGTATTAGGTGTTTCGTAGGAATCGTCCGTCATTGATAATCCTGCAAGAGACGGTGCCGTCGCATCGGCTCGATCGAAATTTCCATTGTCACTAATACAATTCTCGAGGTGCTTAATCTTACGCTCAAATCGATCAATCTTTTCACTCTTGACTTTATTATCGGCTTGCATTTTTGCTGCCCATGGACCCAATCTCCTAAGCTCACACTTGTTTTTGTGATCATCGATATCCTTTCTCTTACACTCATGATCGCAACCAAACTCTGACCATTGACATTGTACATTGCCTTCTGGACATTGATCAATATGTTCTGACTCCTTGATGCGTAAGATTTCTCCTCCACATTGACCGCAATTGACATGACGAAACGTGCATTTAGACTCGCAATGTTCTTCCATATCCTTCGCCTGCAAAGTCTCATCACAGTAAGGACAGAAAGAATCATAATGAAGACAACCCTTTGGTTGGTGGAGTCTCTTGATAAGTTGCTTGCAATCAGGATCCAAACACGCGATTTCAACTTCCTTGCAATGAATAGCGAGATGATTGCGAAGTTTCGATCGTTGGAGATGAGTTTCGCAACTTGGGCAAACAATCATCAAATCGTTGACTTGTTGAACGATAATTCTATTAGATTGACGAAGTGGATCATTCCGGGAAATTGGATAACGGTCCATGGGACATTTTTCCGTAACAGCCAGAGCTTGAGTAATACAATCTCTACAGAAAGTATGATCGCAATGAATGGTGACTGGATCAACCAAAGGAACGCGACAAATTGGACACATGAGGTTTTGGTCGGGAGTATTCACATAGTCAACCGCACGATAATCGATAGTATCTTGATCGCGTCGATCTCGCTCTTCTTCTCCAATGACTTCCATGATTCCTCGATCTAGTAAAGTTGGACGACGAGATCGTGAATAGTAGGAGTTTTCGGGCGAGGAATGAATACTGGAAGCCGGAGTATTATTTGGAACGTGAAGGACCGGTTGTGTAACTTCCGGTTGAGGTGGATAGTAAGCAAAGCCAATGTGAGTTGTAGCAGGATCGTAACCTTCAAAAATGAAGATATTGTTGGGCGGAGTGTTTGGTCGAGAAATGTGTGAGACAGGTGTAGCAGCTCCATTTGTTGGAGTATTCGGTGGAGGCATGTTGACTCAGCTATGGAGACGACCAAATGGATTAATTGATCAATCGAGAATTAATCAAAATGCAACGCAAATCTCTATTAAACTTTAAAGTATTGTGAATGAATTTGAAGCCAGGAAGGTTCTCTTGGAATTGGAAGCATTTAAAAAGTTATCTTTGATCTTTGTTGACGATGACAGCAATATTGGACCACGTGAGTTGTTGGAATTGGGGATTGTCGCAGATATGGAATTTATTGATTGACCTTACAGAGAGAGTATTGTACTTTTGAAATAAGGCTTGGATTAAAGAAAGGAAAGAGAAGAGAAGAGAAGAAGTCTTGCGCAGGCAAAGATGTTTATAATAAATCCAAATACCACTTTTTGAATAGACGTACGTGAAAGTATCTGGTGAGAACCTCTTGTCACAGTTCGTTATTGTTATTGTTGTGGTTTATGGTTATGGTTATGGTTATGGTTATGGTTATGCCTAGGTATGCTGGTGGTGGTTGAGATGTCTTTGGCTTCAGAAGATGCGACTTTGCGTCTCTGGTCTCAATATTACCCCTACACATCTCTCACGTGCTCAATATGGTAACCTTTCGGTAACCTCTCGGATCGGATATGCCATCATGGGAAGGAAACCTTGGGCTGCCACTGGTTGTTGCTGATAATGTTTGATGAGACCATAAGACTGGCCAAGTAATCCAATTCCATGAAAACGACGACTTACAACTTACCCAGAGCATTAAAGTATTACAAACCAGACAAACGTCAATTATACCAATAAATATAATAACAATCGAATGATTCAACCCAAACCTTCTTTTCAATTCAATATCTGCTATCTTCACTACCATTGCTTCCTCTTGATCTCATCCTCCACTCCTACACTCTGCGGCTTTCCGGAGCTCGTATATCTTGATACTATCTAGGCTGCGATCATGTCTACCAATCCCAATCAATACTTTCTACTTGCGGATCACATAAAATTATCATTACTGGAAAGACAACGTGCTATTTCCCTGAATTTGGAACCTACATCCCAAGATGGTCATATTTCACGGTCGTTGGAATCTTTACGCGAAGGTTTGGAGAATATAACGAATGAAAGGATACGATTAGAAGAAGCAGGAGAGACATCATCGTATGTTAGATCTATCTCTTGAACGGCGTATCAGATTATTCCGGCAATTTCCTTTCATATAAGTCAATCTTGGGGCTACATTTGCGCATCACATATCTCTTGCGCAGCGCATTATATATTTCAATTTCGCACAGCTAACACTCTGCTAGTCAATCCCTTACCCTCCAAGAAACCGAACACACCCTCCGAACACAATATGACGACCTAGCCTCTCAATTTCTCGGTCATCCCACCACCAGTACTTCATCCACCCTCTCACACCCCAATGACCCCTCCCTCTCCAACGATTTTGCCCGAGCAACCGAACGTCCGCGCGTGGGATCCTCCTCCTCCTTCCTCAAAAAATCTTTACGCAATTCTGCCGTTGCTCCATCCCCCAAATCCGTTCGCTTCAGCGACTCTCCTTCCATCCAAGAAGCATCCGATCACGCCCGCGCCGCACTCTTTCCTTACCGTGATGACCCCTCCGGTCCCCCAGATCAAAGCCATCTCGACAACCAACAAATACACGCCTATCATTCTCAAGTGCTTGCTGAACAAGACGAGGCGCTTGATAGACTTGGAGAAAGTATTGGTCGACAGAGAGAACTGAGTATACAAATCGGTGATGAGTTAGATGAACATGTACAGATGTTAGATGAAGTGGATAGACATGTGGATCGTCATCAGAGTAGACTGGATAAAGCGCGAAAGAATTTGGGGACCGTGGCAAGGAAAGCGAAGGATAATATGCAGATGACTATTATTCTGATTTTGATCATTATATTAGTCTTGTTAATCATTATTTTAAAGTAGATTCCGAATATGACGGTAGGGCGGAGGAAAGACGTTCTCTGTCTCGGCATTGAATAAACTTCAACCCTTGACAGACAGACTATGGGAGGCAACGTGACGATTACAGAGGCGCAGGAATCGGAGTAAGGAGTACAAGGGAAAGTCTGGGTGAGTGGAATAAGAAGGACAAGTTCTCTGTAGAAACCTTTACTTTGTCCCTCATGAAATCTCATCAACAACTAGCTTAGCTTGGATTGGATTGGATTGAATAGCTACCCATCTTCCATCCTACCTACCAGCAACTTCCATCCACATCTTAAGAAAATCTTCACTTGATATTTGGAGCTGGGACGTTGATCGATAAACTAGCCTAGCAAGATTGTGTTCAATATATACATTTTCTCTACATTTATTATCTCAGAATCCTGATTCTCTTGGTTACTTACTTGACTTGAGATGTTCATGTTGATATCTATATACTAGGTATGTTGTATGAATATTCATATGGAAACTATATGTAAGGAATAGTATGCAATATAAAGTGTATAAAATTTCTGTGATAATTACCTAGGTAGCTTCGCCTCGAGTTTTGTAGGTATTGTAAAACCCCGCTTATGTGGTTTGTACCCCTTTCTTGTCTCGAGTTTGGTTTCTTCTTCTTCTGATGCTTCTTCTGTCTCTTCTTCTTCGTCTTCTTCCTTCTTCTTCTTCTTCGTTCTCTTCTTCTTCTTCCTTCGTCTTCTTCTTCTTCTTCTTCTTCTTCTCTTTGTTCTACTTATCCTATATTTATATTCCACTTTTGATCCTAAATCCTAAATACTAAAAACCTAAAACTAAATAACTCCTGCAACTTCAACCCCCCGTTACCCAACTCACTTTCTCCTCTGTCTTATCTTCTTGCCAATCTTGAATACTCCAATACCAATACCAATACCAGCACAAAAACAAGACCTGAAACCTACAATCTACCCAAATATATGTCATATATCATATACCCACCCTCTCTACCATCCATCTTTCTCTACTACTCATCTCCTCCCTATCACTCATCCTCATCCTTATCCTACCCTCATCCTCATCCTAGAAATCTCCTCCAAACCCTTTCAACAAATGCATACTTTTATCTTTCAAAACTCAATTACTCACGCACTCACTCACTCACTCACTCACTCACTCGTTTACCCCATTCCCCATTCCCCAATCCATACATGTACATACATACATACCCATTTCAATTCCCCCAGTACCCCAGAACTTCCATCGCACACACCTTCATTAACGACATTACACACATCTCAAGATATTCCCGACCAGTTCGCCATCACGTCACCTCATTTACACACACAAATCATCATACCATATTATATATACATGGGCAGGTAAGATTCTTCATTCTCAATATACCCACAAACAATTACATACATACATATGTAATGTACCGAGTTATGTATGTATCATCACCATGATACAACCCCCAAACGCAATATGCACAAATCTAGGACACCATTCTACTATTCCCCTGGCTCCTTTCACGCCATCCACTTCCACACGCATACAGAATCAGTATACCTCATCTAGTTTGCAATGTATATCTGCAAATATATCATAAATCCTACCATCCATAGGTATATCTCCATTCCTTAAAACGCCGAGCTGTGGATGACAAAGGAAAAAAATGTAAATTTTAACGCCAGTTTTATGCAGATCTGTTCTCTTAACGCTGATAAAGGAAAGAAAATTTGGTATGGTTCTAAAGATGCTGACCGGCAACAGTGGTATCAAATGATGGAAGGTGGAAAGGCCGTTAGGGTACTGGTGTGTAGGACATAAAAACCGAAACATGAAAACGATTTGCGGATTTTACTTTGTTGTTATTTTGGTACAGACCTGAGCCTGATTCATATAATCGACTATTGATTTCGGTCATTTTTAGATAACAGAATATTGTTACTGTGGAACCGATCCCTTGCTAGAACCCCTTCAACTGAATCCTGCGGGATATAATATGTGAAACTCAGAATGCGACACGGACACGAATTAGTGTGTCAAGTAAGCCGAGTAGGTCGAGCGCTTCTAATTTAAGGCCATAGTCTTTTTGGCTTGTTCGTAGACGACGTATGTGATACTGACAGCAGGTACGACCTTGAATAGATTTGGCGCAAGACCCTTGTACAAACCACGAAATCCTTCATTTTTAAGAGTCTTCTGTGCAACATCCACAATGCCAGTATAAGTTGGAGGATGTAGGACTGTGCCTTGAGCTTGTAATCGAGTACGGAGGAGATTGATTGGATAGACAATGCTTGCGCCGAATGCTCCCGAGAATGCGCCAATGGCGCCTGTGGCTATCGGTCCTGGCATGGCATCTGCTTCACTATATCCAAAGCGCTTCATATTTCGACGTGCCACGTACCCCTTTAATGTTTCAAACGTAGCAAGATCAATAGCGGAATAGGGGAACATGCCAACCAACCCCATTGTCAAACCTCTGTATGCGAATGGAATTCCACCTTGTTTATACATTTGTTTCGCAGTGGCGGCAATAAGGGCATTTCCGCGAAGGCCACCAGCAACAGTTTCACATTGCATTCTAGACACGAATGAGTTCAATATTCAGATTACAAGGGGTGGGAAGGGCATCTCACCGGAATTTTAAGGTATCAATCGGATAGACAACCAATCTGCGATCAAGAATTAGTAGTTGTTTCATGTGACTTGAATACAAGTACTTACTGAGACATTATTCCAGCGAAACCACCAGCAACAAACTTTGAATAAGGGTTAATCTTCTTAGAATTACCATGTCCCTCCAATTGAGCCAGGTGTTTTTTCGCAGCTTCAAAGGAGCCAAATTTGATAGCACTTTCAGGCATAACTTTTATGACATTTAAGCCATTACCTATTTATTTGTCAGTTTGTGGTAAGTATAAACAATGGGATAAACATACCAGCGAATAAGCTACGCATGCCGCCTACTTTCCAAAGCTCCTTGATAGCAAGGATTATAGGTTGTCCGGCCATTTTGACAGCTGCAGCCGGGTTTCCCTGTTTCGCAGCTTCGAGAGGTGCACTTTTTGCAGAGACATTGGCGATGAGGTAAACTTTCAATCGATCTATGGGAGCTGTTGCTGTACGAGAGAAAATTCCGGCGATAGCACCCGCCGCGAAGTAGCCTGGATCAGGTAATATCTCCGTCAGTCTTGATCTCTCTGATGACTCTAACTTTTTAGGAACTTCGTGGGTTAGCTCTGGCCGACGTCTCCTCATAACATTGGCCATGGTTTCAGTACGTGGATGAAGTGGGTCGACAATGTGGTCATATACATCATCAACAGAGTCAATAGAACTGATCGCTTGTACATTTGTAATGGCCATGTCTGCGGTTTGGTTGTGAGAAGAAGTGGGTGAAGGTGCTTCTTCAATTTGAATTGTAGGAGTTCGGCCACGATGCGATTCTGCGATACTAATGACTGCCCCAAAAAGAAGCTTAAGAAAATTTGTTTTGGTACCTAAGCCTTCGAGTGTGTCTTCTCGAATTGAAGTATCGCCCTCGGCGTTCACAGCTACTGCAGACTGATAATATGACAGTACGGCCTTCAAAGGTTGGGTAGAAGCTGTAGTGGGTAAAAATAGTAAGAAGTTTCTAAAAAAAACATTAATTAGGACAGATTAACTTTCAGATGAGTCGATGATTTCGAAGTTTAGGAAACATATGGTCATAACATGGCTACCAGTACTAGGTAGTTTCAACGGTTCGCCGGGGTTTTTAGCGGCTACATAGCAACCATACAGAATGAAAGTTTGGTGAGAGATCAACATCATCTGGTATGGTTCATTCACTCGACATAAAAGAAGTGACAGTACTAACCTCCATTCATCGAATGTTATAAATCCCTTGAAGTAAAGTCAGAAAATGGTCAATGGTAGATTTTCAAGACGGTAATTTTGGTACAAACATCATGATTCATATCAACCTCTTCGAAGAATAGGTCTAATTTAGATTTCGAAATAGTAAGTCCAGCTTTCTTGAATGCAACTTGCAATTCATCTTTATCCAATCTATTATCATTATCCCTATCAATGCCTTGGAAGAGGACGAACAACTCTTTTTCGGTTTTCTCGACGAAAGTTCGAAATTCTGGAGGATGAAAGAATTAGTAAGGATATATGCAAGCTGCAAGCCGACGGAGTGATATTGGGTATAGATTTTCTCAAAGGTCCATACCATCATATTGAATAACTTCATCTCCATTCTTATCCATAGCCTTTACTGCGTCTCTTAGCATATCACCGGCATTCTTCAATGGGTGATCAATCTTCCGCAGCCCCTTTTGAAGCTCTTGCAAATTAATCTCCCCTTTCTGATTTGTATCTAATTTTCTCCATAACTGCTCAACCCTCTCGTCGCGAGCATTTTGGGTTTCTGCTACTGCGGCTACTTTTGATAGCTTCATGATATCTTTGTTGAGTTGCGGCCGTGGGGTTATGATTTCGCAATCATATCGTATAGTAATTGATCAATGAACTGATCAAAATTTGAGGATATATGGTTATCATCGATGCGAACGAGCGAGCATATTCTTCTTCGACTTTCATACCATATCAAAGTTTTAATGCGAAGTGAGGCAGCATAGAAGTGGAGTTTCAATAATAATTCAGAGCGCAAACTTCCAAGATTCCGTCAAAAGATTAAGCTTGACCAATGAGAAATGCTTGATTGGTTGTATCACACTACCGTAGTGGGGGCAGGGTTCCCGATGTAGATCCTCAATCAATGACAGTCAGCCTTGTCAGCCTTGGAGCTATCGTAAGTATCGGCCTCGTGAGAGTTGTATCCTCATCCTCATTCACAATCCTACATCGATCAGGACATATTCTTGAAGGATTATCTTTAAAGAAAGTGAACGAATTGTGATTTCTGTACATTTAATTGAGCTTTGGGATAGGTTAGTGCCTCTTCTTTGACTCTTTTGGAGATATCAAGTTCGAAGTATCAACAGGGAAATCATTTTGCCTTCAAG